CTTTCCTACGCAGACTAACTCGCAGTTGCGCCGCTAGCCTTTTTATATGCAATTATTACTGCCATCTCGAGGTGATCGGAATACACTAGCTAGAACCAGAACTTTCTCGAACCAACGCGGTAATTCCAAATATTTAATTACGCCTAATGCCACCTAGCGGGTAGCTGAAAAAGATAGTACATAGTACCACTACTCGCCACTAGATATCGTTAAGTGTCACAATACACAATAATAATTGAAATGCAAAACAGCGTAAGTTTGCTTAGGTCACGCACTTTGCGACTATCCTAGTGTAGAAATATAGTTAAGGACAGAAATTGGCCCTTGGAACAAACTGAAAAAATCATTATGACCCGAAGGCTTCAAAGTTTGGAGACCCCTGATCTAGAAGGTATATCTGCAAACATTTCGAAATTTGTGGAAAATTGTAATTATCTTTTGTAATTTCTACAACCGATGTACTCTACTATCAACTCTGGCTTGATATTGATATTGATTTGAGACCCCATTGAAATGGGCGGATCAAATGTCTTTCGGATATTCAGGCTCACTAGGGTCATTAATGAATCTAATGAGTGACATCGGTACTAACTTGGGAATTCCGTGTAAAACTGAAGACACTGACAGATCGCAATAAATACTAGATGCCCAGGCAATTTGTGATGAGTGTTCTAGACACGGGTATCCATATATTATTTATCATCCAGCTGTGATTCGTAACCAGATCAGGGAATAGGTCAAAAAGGAACATACAGAATAATGGGACAATACACTTGTAGATGAAAAAAACATTCATACTTCAACACAACAGAGATCGGCTCAGAATAAGTTCAGCACTACTTTCTGGATGTCATCCAGTTAGGGAACGTTTGAACAAAATATAGGGTTTTAGAAGGATACCTAGTTGCAAACAATGTGACACAGGGAAATATGCAGCACAGATGCAACGTCTGTGTTTTAGATGCTTTCTGCTGCTTGATCCAACCAATGATTGTTTTTTGAATCCACTAAATTATAGCATGAGACCATCTTGATGTGTTTTTTATGAATACTGATTGATAGCCTACTTCCCAGAACCACAGCCCAAAGTTCTAGCAATGACTTAGGAGGGAAGTAATTTATGGGCAACCAATTATGTCCCGAAAAATATGATAAATATTCAACAAAGGAGTTGTACAAACAAACACGATTGTTGGAATAGGAGCTATTAAAAGTTGAGAGAAAAAAATTCAATGAGCTACTGAGGTTGCAGTGTTTTCCAAACAATTGAAATGAAAGGGCAACTCAGAGATCTCAACTCAAAGATCCAAAAGTACAAATGATGTCTTCCTAGAAGAGTTATGTGTAGGGCTCAATAAAGGTGAAGTGGCTGCGGCAGTATTCAGCGACTTTTCTAAGGCTTTTATTTGCGTTGATCACAGAGTGCTGTTGGAAAAATTGTTCCTTTATGCAATCAAAGGAACAACCCTTATTTGGTTCCGAAAGTTGCATAACAAAAATTCTAGTCTTTCGAAAATCCCCTGTGGAGCCCCCAAGGATCAGTGCTCGGTCCCATTTTGTTCCTTATCTATGTGAATGACCTATTTAATATCGACATACAAGGAAAGTTTTCAATGCTTGCAGACGATACAATGATATAATGATACGCAGACGATACTATGGCATGGAAATAATACAGACTCTCTGAGAAATATAATTGAAACTGATTCAGAGAAAGTCAAATCTTGCTGTGATTCCAATTGTTTATGTTTCAATATGAATAAAACTAACATAATTTCGTTTAAATTTGTTTCTGAAACCTAAACCTCCAGAAGAATGTCAACGAAGATAAGACGTGCACCAAATTCTTGGGATTATGGATTCATAATTGATACTCTGAAATTTCATAAACTCGTAAAACATCTCAACCGTCTCTCAACCAATCCTGGCTGCTACGCTATCAGGGTCATCACCAAGGAGTTGGCAATAGTAGCAGGAAAAACATCTCATTTTTCATTAGTCGAGTCTCACTGATGTATGGTATTGCTTTCTGGGGTTTATGTAGCAAGCAACTGATGCAATCGGTGTTTGTTCTACAAAAAAAAGCGCTAAGATATATATGTGGTGCCAAGCGTTTGGACCACTGTAGACCACTCTTCGTAAAGAGTAGAATACTAACAATCTACTGCATCTCCATTCTAGAAACAGTATGCCTAATTCAAATGAGAAAAAATACTTTTCCTTCCGAAAGAACATTTCCTTCAACATTAACAAAAAATTCCGTAATATTTGAGAGTCGAAAGATATTCAATCATCTACCATTAGAAATGAAAAGTATAATAGAGTCAAAAACATTCGTAAAACGTGTGAAGGAACTTTCACTCACGAAACTATATTATTGCTTGGAAGAATATCTTGAAGACAGATTTTGACTGCCTGAACCCTTGGTCGAACCGACTGATTTATTTATTTCAACAATACATGTAAATCAATTCTCAACTTTGTAGAATCTTATGTCCTGTCTACATGTAGCGTTGGAATCTATATTGTTCCATTGTTACTGTGAATTGAGATGACCTGCAAGTAGCGAACAAGTCTTGTGTGCTAGAAACCATAATACCATCAAGATCTATGTATCGATTGTAGACCTAGGACAGAAGCTTCAATCTGCCTAGATACCTATACGATCTTATTCCAGATGGAAAACTATGCCATTGATTTATGCGTGGAAGGACTGACCTTCTTGGAAGAGCAAAACCTCGGCAAATCAATGGGCTACTTGGATTGCAAGCGCAGGTTCTGACTTCTGGAAAAGTTTACCAGCTCAACGAATAGAATCTCATTAAGTTTTATTTAATTTTTCGAATAAAACCTCAACAATTCCACCGAGTAAGCAGATGTTCTGATTTCTGGGAAAGTTCACCAGGATTGGTCTATTTCAAGGCCTTCATTCATTCTTCTGAGAATAT